TCAAATTGCCCCGTCTTCTAATCACTCAGGGAATTGCGATGAAGTAAAGCTAGACGCGCTCGATTTGACCAACAGTTCTTTGCTCAAATCAGCATTATAATTTGTTTAATAAACCTGTCTTTCGGGACGATCTGTCCTAAAATGAGAACCAAATAAAGTGGTGGGAAGTAAAGGTAGCCGGCAGCCGATGCGCCGTGAAAAGGGATCGTTAACGTTTTCTTAGTCTAACCACTGGACGCTGTCAATGTGACCAGAGCCGCATCTGATAACCCACATCAACGACAACACTTACTTCTGGCCAGGTTTTTGAGCTGGGCGTCTTTGGTGAAGGCCATGATGGCGAAAATTGTGAAGAGAAAGAACAGGCAACAGCAGGAGAACATAAGAAACGTCTCTTTCCTCGACCAGCGCCTGAACCACAAGCTGGTCGACTTCTTGCCGTTGAATGTGTTCAAAAATCTAATCTGAGAAACAAACCAATTCAGGTTAACAAGAAATGAATAATTTATTTGTAATTATTTACTTTATTCAATTGTAGGTGTCTGATTGAATCGCCACTACTACTATATCGTCATCATTATCATCATTTTCATCATCAGCTCTTCCACTTTTTTTGCTCCTTTTTCTTCGCTTATATTTTTCTAGTCCCGTGTTGCGGATGTCATTTATAAAGAGAATCAAACTTGTATATATTATCTTTCTAACGCTGTCTAAATGTAGCTCTGCGTTTATATTTCTTGACATCATTGTTCCTTTTAACTCTGTGTTCATTATATTTCTTCAGCGTGCCTGTCTATGACAGTTGTATCAGGGCATAATCTTCAAATAGCCAAACCCTCTCATCTTTTATTTCTGTTATGAACTTGATAACTGACAGCGCCGCCACCACATGCAGTGAATTCCCTGCAAGGTGTCGTAGACCTTCAGAGGTCAGTAAAGTGTAAGAGGTCAAATTAGGTTATACAGTAGCATTGTTTTCACTGTTTGACATAATGGGAGTGAAATCGAAGATCAAGTCGTGGGAGAAACCTTGAGCAACCATCAGTAAACATTTAGGAGGCGAGTCAAATGTTGAATAAAAACTCGACATCATACCATCTGGGACACCCCCATAAGCGCTCCATCCATATCTTCAGCAGCAAAGAAAGAATTCCAATTCTGATGGCAACAGTTACTGTCTGACTGTAAATCTGTCTCGTCCTTCCCTTGAGTGTTGAGCTACAGCCAGATTCCGTGAAACTACTTGCAGCGCCATTCTCCGCAGACGGTAATGATCTATTTGCATTTCCGCACTTTTCACTCGTTCCCAGAGGGCCCTCACAACATCTAGCTTGTCATACATCACTTCACCACTGCCTGAAGATCCGGCATGAGCCTGCTTGCTAATTTCCTGACACACCGGCATCCTGGAGAGCATAGGCTAGTCAAATTACCTCTGCTAATGTCAACGACTGTATTAGAAACCAGATGTTGAGGGGTAGGATCTTCACGGTGGTCAGTAAGTCCACAAAACCAGGCAGGTAAGCGGGCAGGTTTTAAAGAAAACAGCGGCAAGCTGCAATTTCGAGTAGAAATGAGTCAGCAAAAGTTGCGCTTGCACAGTCTCATCCCATGTATGGTTTCCAGATTGTCTGACTGGGAAAATCTTTTCCGAAATCTAGTCGCTTTCCGTCAAACAAATATAACCTTTATAACTGTCTTCTCTACACTGAAACTGTTTCTCAATTCAACATTCTTTTAACACACACTAGTACGTCAACAGAATTCGTTAAAATCACAACATTCAATAAAAACACATAAACACACAATTGCAAAATTTTTTGCAAATCCACTGACATGCAGTCACAACATTTGTTAAACACACACTAGCATACGAACATACAATGGCGACATTTGTTACACACATCCTGCAATCACGACATTTCTTAAACAAACACTAACTTGCAATCACAGACATTCCTTATACATACATTCACATATATACAATCACATACAAGACAACCTACACAGAAGTGTAGGTAACACCTCCCTACCTGTCCTGGGTCAGACGGCGAGTCAGGGTCATCCATACTTGACCCGGAAGTCAGATTGGCAGCATCTGAAGCTTTATGGGAAGTCGCCATTTTGCCTGCTAATCCATGATGGATTCCTCCATTCATGATGAATGTGTCCGCTTCACGAACGTTAGCGAAATATTTGGAGAATAGATTTCCTGCCATTTCGTCCGTATCTTTGAAGTGGAGCCCCGGAATCCTTGAAATTTTCAGTTTTCTGTTGCGAGTAATGTAAAAATAGTAAACGGCTTGATTTGTAGGCAACAGCTGAAACGGAACTAACTTTTGCTATAATTTTATAATCTACTTAGTTTTAAAAAGCTGTGAGCAGGGAATGTGAACTGAAGTAGTGGATAAATCTAGAGATAGAGATATGAAAATGTATTAACACAAATGTTGAAAATAGTGTCTCCTGTTGAATAATGAATGTTATTAAGCGTATCCATCATCGTTGGGATCAGGAGAAATCTGACAACATATGATACATTTCTATAGTGTTTATTGTCTTCTGTTCTCTTCTCAAGAAATGACCATAGGCCGTTTGCTGCCTAGTTTGTTAATGGCGTATTCCGTGTAGTGTTAGTCGAGAGATTTTGCTGGTAATTTCTTGTGGACTTGGTCTATCAGTACATCATAAAGTCCTGTTGAAAGAAAGGAAAGGAAATGTGTTAACATTCAGCAAAGCTTGCAAAAAATACAATGATTTATTGGTACTTTTCATCTTTCGAGATTATCGTGTTCCATTATGCTATAGAGAGTGATGAGAATCTTAGGTCATTTACTGATTTACTGATTTAAAAATCGACGTGATAGCACACCGGGTATACCCATGGAAGCTCCGTCTCCCGCAGAAAATGTCTTAAGGTGTAAATGCTAACTGTTCCTGTAACACGCGATGTTCTCTTCCTGTTATACGTCCGTCCTTGCCGGATCCACTTCTAATTCTTTGTTCAAGCATTCGTGCACGGATTATTTCATTTAATTTCGAATCTTCCATTAATGTTCGTTTGTAAATGGTTTTCACAATGTCTTCCTCGTGCTGTGTTCCCGTAGATGTCACTTTTGTAGCCAGAAAATCCACTCTTTCCTTCCCTCGCACTCCTGCATATCCCGGACATTATATCCACCTGATTCATTGCAATGTTGATTTACTGATGCATGGTACCCACTCATGCCACATTAGTCCATTTTGAATCGTCTGCAGTGCCGACTCAGAATCAGACACAATAATTCCTTTGATGACTTTATTTTATGCTATCCACATCAGAGCTGCAGTGGTTGCCTCCACCTCCATCCTTATACTTGAAGTTGTAGATTAAAAAATCTCCTTTTTTTTCTTTCACAATCGTTCCCTTCTTTCTAGTTGAAAATCGTTAGGCAGATCTTACACCCCATTGAACAGAACAATCGTTGTACACTAGTGAATCATCCAGCCCAGTATTTTCATCTATCAGTTGTCGTACCAACCTCAAGAACAGGAGGAAGGAGAAAAAATGCCTGCTAAAATTAATAAAAGACAAGGAAGGGCTTCTGCTCACTACCACAGATGGTATCATAGACAGGTCCAAAGAATACTTCTCGGATCTTCTCGGTGTTGAGGAAAGTCATGTCCCAGAAATATATCTGACCTCACTGCAGAGAAGGAAATCATCCAAGGAAAAGATAACATCCGGATGGAAGAATTGAAGGTAGCTATTGAGAAGATAAAGCTCGGGAAAGCAACAAGACATGATGGTATAACACCAGAGATGGTCAAATACATAGGACTTAGGTGAACGACTTCTCTCAAATGTTCCACAGGCAGCCTAATGTAGTAAAACTATCCCAAAAGACTGGAAGATCGCCATCATTACACCTATATTAAAAAAGGGTGATAAGAGACAATATGAAAACCACAGAGGTATATCTTTCCTCGGCGTTCCCGGTAAAAGTTACTCTATAATTTTGAGCAGAGAGTGAGAAGTCTGGCAGAACCACAGCGAATCAGGTCTAATGTGGCTTCAGGGCAAATAGAAATGCTCAAGACTCTATCTTCAAGACTCTATCTTCACACTGAGACAGATTAGTGAAAAAGCCCTTGAATATAAGAGTAAGATAACCTATGGTGTTTTTTTTTTTTTTATCTCGAAAAAGCCTTTGACAAGGTCCCCTGGAGCATACTTTGTGACTGCTTGGCAGGGGAAAAAACATTCCAGCACCCCTGATCAGTGCAATACAGAGTTTCTACAATAGCTGCACAAAATATTTAGGACCACTAGCGGTGTTAGACAAGGTGATATTCTCTCACCTTACCTCTTCATTCTCATGATGAATGATGTCATCAAGATAAGTAAGGAGAAGACAGAGAAGTACTCTGAAGGGTACTAAAAGATGAGACCAATCTATATATCAGAGTTGGCATTTTCAGACGACATAGCCTCGATGGCTAAAACAGAGGCACATCTTCAATCCAACCTACTTGTCTGGAAGAAAGAGCTTGAGAAGAGAGGGATGTCAATCAGTATCTCCAAAACTAAAACCATGGTGATCTCAAGAGATGAGAAGAAACACCAGATCATGTTGGGACAGCATGCATTGGAGCAGGTCCAGCAGTTTAAATATGTTGGAGTTATTAGACCAAAATGGAGCATTAAGACAGAGCTGGCTACTCAAAAAGCAGTAGCTCGGAGTCCATAAATCGAGGTTTTTTTTTAGCACAAGAGAAACCGGCAAGATGACGAAAATGGCTGTTTACCGCTCTACCTATGTACCAGTCCTGACCTACAGGTGAGAATAATGGGTCATGACAACAGCCCGCAGAAGCCAGCTTCAGGCCTCAGAAAGAAAATATCTGAGAAAGGTGGTGCAGTCACAAAAAGAGACAAAGTTCACAAATAGACAGTACGTCAAGATCTTGAAACCCAAGCCTTTACAAACTCGAGTGGGTCAGTCACAGCTACGATGATTTGGACGTATGATGAATGAAAGAAAATCAGCCACCATGGCAGACATGGGAGGCTAAACACCAGGGAACCAGACCACCAGGGCGACCCAGGGTCCGCTAGGAAGACAGCATCTGACAGTCCCTGGTGGACAGAGGACTGGAATGGAACAAAGCCAGAGAGATAACTACCGATAAAGAAGTCTGGCGACCTCTCTGGCAAACCTCTACAAACCAAGGTAGAAGAGGAACGACTAAGTTAAAAAAAAAAAAAAACATTGTTATACCTCTTATTCTGCCATACCATTTCACCACTGTCTACATTCTCTGTCTTATGTGGTAATGACCTGATGGAAACTGCTGTTGTTGATTTTTATTTCTGACCTCTGTGTACTTGCTCCATCCAAGGCTCCTGTTTTGATTGTATTTTCACCTAGTGCCATATATGACTTTCCTCTTGTCAACCAGTCTTCTCTCAGATCTTTCAGATTGCTTTTGCAGCGGAGGCCTTTCATCATTACCAACTCGCACATGGGCCTTGGCTTGCTCCAGTGACAGTTTAGACTTTACCGATGTCAGCCCAAGCATATACCTCATAGTTCTAATTGGTGTTACTTTGTGTGCAACCCAAGTCGATTCTCATTACTTAACTTTTAATCCTTTTAAGGTTTGTGCAATTTTAAGTAGACAGGGTTTAAATTCCAAGGTCATTATCAATTACTGAAAGGAGCAAATGGTTGAACAAGACCAATAGTTTCTGTTCCATGCTTGTCGCCACCATCGTTTCAGTGCCGCCAGGCCACGCTTGCATTTGATCATAATCAGCTCCACGTGATTTTTGAAAGACAGACTGCGATCAAATGTCAAACCCAATATTTTACTTCTTCCTTCTTTTGACATGTATACAACTTTGGATATACTAGTCACGTTTTCCTTTCCAATGCTGTTATTTATGGAGCACCACAAAACACTGACCTACTCTGGGTTTGCCCTTGACCCTGTCTGTTCGCACCACCCAGTCATCTCATGTAATACACTTTGCAAGTCTCTGGTCATTTCAGGCCTGTCTGACCCGCTTCGATACAATAGGACAGCATCTGCCAATGTCAAAATTCGCCCTGGTCCAGGGGACTGTGTTTGTGCCAGACTTGCTGTATATATGTTAAACAATTGTGCCAGACTTGCTGTATACATGTTAAACAATTGTGCCAGACTTGCTGTATATATGTTAAATAATTGTGCCAGACTTACTGTATATATGTTCAACAATTGTGCCAGACTTGCTGTATACATGTTCAACAATTGTGCCAGACTTGCTGTATATATGTTAAACAATTGTGCCAGACTTGCTGTATATATGTTAAACAATTGTGCCAGACTTACTGTATATATGTTAAACAATTGTGCCAGACTTGCTGTATATATGTTAAACAATTGTGCCAGACTTGCTGTATACATGTTCAACAATTGTGCCAGACTTGCTGTATATATGTTAAACAATTGTGCCAGACTTACTGTATATATGTTAAACAATTGTGCCAGACTTGCTGTATATATGTTAAACAATTGTGCCAGACTTACTGTATATATGTTAAACAATTGTGCCAGACTTACTGTATATATGTTAAACAATTGTGCCAGACTTGCTGTATACATGTTCAACAATTGTGCCAGACTTGCTGTATATATGTTAAACAATTGTGCCAGACTTTCTGTATATATGTTAAACAATTGTGCCAGACTTACTGTATATATGTTAAACAATTGTGCCAGACTTGCTGTATATATGTTAAACAATTGTGCCAGACTTGCTGTATATATGTTTAAACAATTGTGCCAGACTTGCTGTATATATGTTAAACAATTGTGCCAGACTTGCTGTATATATGTTAAACAATTGTGCCAGACTTGCTGTATATATGTTAAACAATTGTGCCAGACTTGCTGTATATATGTTAAACAATTGTGCCAGACTTGCTGTATATATGTTAAACAATTGTGCCAGACTTGCTGTATATATGTTAAACAATTGTGCCAGACTTGCTGTATATATGTTCAACAATTGTGCCAGACTTGCTGTATATATGTTAAACAATTGTGCCAGACTTGCTGTATATATGTTAAACAATTGTGCCAGACTTGCTGTATATATGTTAAACAATTGTGCCAGACTTGCTGTATATATGTTAAACAATTGTGCCAGACTTGCTGTATATATGTTCAACAATTGTGCCAAACTTGCTGTATATATGTTAAACAATTGTGCCAGACTTGCTGTATACATGTTAAACAATTGTGCCAGACTTACTGTATACATGTTCAACAATTGTGCCAGACTTGCTGTATCCATGTTAAACAAGACAGGTGATAATGTGGATCCCTGGGAAAGGCTAGGGCAAATGCGTATTTAATACGATTTCCATGCATAATAAAATACAACTGTTTTTTCCACAGTACGCCCCGATCCAGCTGGTCAACCACAGTCCGTCACGCACTGCAAATGGTGTGTGAAAACACGGTTATAGC